CGGGGAGCGGGCGCCGGGTGTGGGGGCCCAGGTCGGGGAGCCAGGGTGCCTCTGAGTGGGCAGACACCTCCGCCCCTGGCCAGCTCGCTCTTGGCTCTGCCGGAAGGCCGCCCGCGTGTCGGACGGGGCCTGAGCGCTCTGAGCAGGTGGCAGCAGTCGACAGCGTGACCCTCCGTGCTGAGGCGTGTGCGGGCCCGCAGGTGGTGTGTCTGCTGTCCAGTAACCGCAAGGACAAGTATGACGCCATTAAGAAGTACCTGTGCACAGACTGCCCCACCCCCAGCCAGTGCGTGGTGGCCCGCACCCTCGGCAAGCAGCAGACCGTCATGGCCATCGCCACCAAGATCGCCCTGCAGATGACCTGCAAGATGGGTGGCGAGCTCTGGCGGGTGGACATGCCCGTAAGTGGGCGGGGGGCGGCGAGCTCTGGCGGGTGGACATGCCCGTAAGTGGGCGGGCGGGCAGGAGGGCTGGGCTCGCTGACGCCGCCGCATGTCTGACTCGGCGTGTCTTTGTTCAAGCTGAAGCTGGCCATGATCGTGGGCATTGACTGCTACCACGACACCACGGCCGGGCGGCGGTCCATCGCAGGCTTCGTGGCGAGCATCAATGAGGGCATGACCCGGTGAGGCGGGCCGCACGGGCCGGGGTGCGTGGGTTCCGTCCGGTCCTCCTGGGCTGTGGCAGGAGTGCAGAGAACAGCGGCCGCCCCCCGCCCGGGAACCGGCGCCCCCCGCCTGCCTGGGGGCCCACCGCCACGTTCGATGTCACTGCGTCCAGGCTGCTGGGGGACCTCGCTCACTCACCGTGGCCATGTGAGGCCCAGCCTGGCAGGGCAGCCCTGGAAGCCACATGGCCAGTTGTAGGTTCAGATCCCAGGACAGGCCCAAAAATACGCCAGGTGTCACACACGTGCCCGAGATCCCAGAGAGCTGGGGGAGAGGTGGCCGTGCGACACAGTGGCGGGCATGTCTGGCCCCGCACCCCACACACGCTGTTCCTAAATAAAATGCAACCGCTTTCTTTGCCTCAAAGCAACCGCCTTGGGCCACCCGGTGGTGTGGCGGTTACGGTGGCTGGATCCACGTGGCTAGGGATGGAGCCTGGACCTGGCAGTTCAAGGAACAGGCGTCCCAGAGCCCGAGGAGAGACGGAGGGGCAGGGATTGTGGTGAGGCCGTGCCCACGGGAGGGCTTCCTCCTCGCCCCGACTCCAGCCAGCGCACACCCCCGGCAAATCAAAGAGGAAGAGAAAGTGACTGACCACTCGGTCACTCTCACCGCCCACCAGGAACATCGCGCGTGTTCACGTGGACACCCACGTCCCCGTGCCTGGGTGCTGTACCCCAGGCAGCGCGGGCATCTTGCACCACGCTCCTGGCATGAAGGGAGTTGCCGCTTCATCGTGAGCACTGTCTCTAGGTCTGTCCCATTAGGAGCGTGAGGGCCACACGGTGCTTTCTTGGTGCCGCAGGCCGCAGGGGGTGCTTGTGCCCTCCAGAGCCCGGGTGGCACCTCCGGGGTCAAGGCCAAGGTCTTCTCTCTTCCCCGAGGATAGATGACGGCATTGGTTTCTGTACCAGGCCTCGACCGTGAGGTTACGCGGGGTGTGCCGTGGCTTGCTGCCTGGAAGGGGCCCACGGACTCCGTGCTCGGAGGCCCCTGGAGGGAGGCCTCTGACGGCGCTCCGTGCTCTCCTCACAGCTGGTTTTCACGCTGCGTGTTTCAGGACCGAGGCCAGGAGCTGGTGGACGGGCTCAAGGTCTGCCTGCAGGGTGAGTCCCGTGTGAGCCGCTCTGCTACGGTGGGGGCCGGGCGGGAGGCATGCGTGTCTGTGCTGGGGGTGAGCGCCCACCTGCCCTCTTTCAGCCGCCCTGCGTGCCTGGAACAGCTGCAACGAGTACATGCCCAGCCGCATCGTCGTGTACCGGGACGGCGTGGGCGACGGCCAGCTCAAGACGCTGGTCAGCTACGAGGTGCCGCAGCTCCTGGACTGCCTCAAGTCCATCGGGAGGAGTTACAAGTAAGCACGCACCGCGGGGCTGCAGGGAGCGGCCGAGGGGCGGGTCCCGGGGCGTGGGGCAGGCGGGGTCTGCCCGCCCCTTCCCCACCGGGAGCCCTGAGGTGGTCACTCTGCACACCCGGGTCCCTGCAGGATGGCGGCCTGAGGACGTCGGACAGTCCCAGCCTTGCTGTGGACGAGCTCCCATTGACCCCTTTGCAGGTTAACAAAGCGGCTGAGGAGTGAGCCGGCTGGCACGGGTGTGGTCCCACCGGAAGGGGTGGGCCTCCCTCTGCTGGGTGACACGGCCAGCCACGGACAGCACTGTCCACAACCAGGGCCGTGCTGGGCTCCTCCACCGCCCGCCCCAGCCTCGCCGTCCCCTCTCCTGCAGACTGGGTGGCATGTCCCACGCTGGCTCCAGACAGCCGCTGGGATACGCTCATTGGATGCGCCGTATCAGACCAGGGTGACGTGCCGTGCGTTAGGCCACAAACACTGAGGTTTATAAGGGTAGTTGGGCAGCCTGGGAGCCTTGACGGGGCGTGCTTGCACACGCGTCCAACACTGACAGTTTGCACCACGGTTAGCTTGACGCCAGGCTCACACTTGGGATTGCTGTGGGGGGATCCGTGAGCCGTCGGCCGCAGAGCTGAGCCCGGCTGTGTTCCACGGTGTGCGGCAAGCCTCTTTCTAGCCGGCCGGCTGCCATATGGCCTTTGGCCACGTTCTAGAAGGCTCCACCAAGTACTGGCCCTGGGCGCTCCATAGGTGTCACACACTCTCATGGCACGTCGGGGTGCTTCTGCCGTCCTGGAAAACCATCTCCATGTGAGGCCAAAGCGTCGGCTCTTCTGGAAAACGGCAGCTGCCCCGTGCTGGCCCCTGACAACTCGAGACGCTCCTGTCCCCTCCCCTAGACGGCGGTGCTTCTCAGTTTAGCATCGAGGGCTTGCGTTGTTGCACATTCTTCTCTGACTTGGAGTTTCTGCTCATGCCCGGAGGTGTGTGTGCTGGCGGGTAGGGGCCAGGCCCCCAGAGGGCGTCCATGTCCTGGTCTTCGTTGCTGTCATCATTTTCTGCTAGCTGCCCGGTAGCCAGCAAGGACACACGTGGGGAAGGGGAGCATAAACCATGGCCGGGGATGCTGCATGCAGGTGTGAGCACAAGGCAGATTTCTGCACGCAGTGGAGAAGGCGTCGGCTTGGCGCAGTGTGGGCATGGCGCAGCAGGGGGACGGCAGCGGCGTGGGAGGGCATAGGATATGCCCTCGTGTCACGGCGCACCTGTGGCGGATGCCGTCTGCACTTGCACGTCCGCAGCTCCCGGTCTGCAGGGATGCTGGGGCCCGCTCTCCCGTGGAGGCGCGGCACGGACTGGCCGCCTACCGTACGTTTGCTCTGAGTGCCTCTGCGTGCTCGCAGCTTGTCCATGACCACATCTGCCGAGTCCCTCTCGTGACGACAGGGTTACACTCTGCCACTTCATCGCCTCGCGCCTGCGTCCGGTACCTCCTCTGAACGGTGCGAGTCCTGCATGGTAACCACCGCCCGCCCTGCCCTGTGTGCAGAAAGTGAGGCTCGGCGCTGAGCCAGGGCAGCGGAGGCCCGGCGGTGGTGGCCCCTCCAGCACACTCACAGGCACGTGGCTCTGCGTGCTCCATGTTCTGGGTGCTGGGTCTGAGCGAGTCGTGTGCGAATGTGCTTGGAAACGGACCCTCAAGTGGGCAGGCTGGGGCGTGGCAGTGCCCGAGCAGGCTGCATCTTGTAGGGTAGAGGCTATGGGGCCGGGCGCGGGGCGACGCTGGGCCCAGGGCGACAGGGCCGAGGGTGTGCACCTGCAGGGGACGGGCGGCCCGGGAGCCGGGAGCCTGGAGCCTGGACGTGGGAGCCCCAGCCAAAGAGCGCACGCGGGGACGGC